ATTCTTCCTAGCAAAGTTGCTGTAATATTCAAATGCTTCGTCATCACTTTTAAATATCTGCCCAACGTATGGAGTAAAGACAACATCTTGGGACGAAGACGATGCTGTTTCACTCTTTGTCATTTGAGAAACATTTGCTATGTGATCATCTCCATCAGCTTTAATGTAACACTTCCAATCTCCACAAGGGCATTGCTGTCTCCTAATCCATATGTTATTCAATGGCTTTGCTGCAATAATCTCCATAACAATACTCTAAACCCACTAAAAAGATCCTAAATTTATGATTCTCAAAAGCAAACCACCTCTTATGGGTTCAACAAAAACCAAGAGAGATCAAAATTACAGTCATCACAACAAAAAAGAAGAACCCCAACTTCATTTCAAGAACGAAAACAACATTTTAGCCCAGAAATCTCAAATTCAACAACTAATTTCACCGGGAATCAAAAATCTTGAATTGGGTGTCAGCTATATGAGTAGAGATTGATAAATTACAAGGGAAAATAGATCAGTATTGAGTAGAATCAGCTTTCAATTGCAAAATTAAAACGAGAAAACAAAAAACCAATTCAAATATGATGAATTATGAAGAATTTGCTTACCAAATGTCAAAAAGTTGCAACCTTTGTAGATAAAAATAGTACGAACAACTCTACTCTTTGACATTTTTCTTCATTCTTTCAGCACAAATCTCTTTTTGTTTTGTTTCATTCCTTGTTTTTTAAAGAAGTCAAAAGCTATACATAAGATGGGAAAGAGAAACATACTGAACTCAAAATTTATATATTTCCCTAAATTATTTGAAAAGGCCAAGATATATTTCATTTAATGTTTGGTCTATATATATCTTTGTCGTTCAACTTTTGATCTACATACTCTACATGTACCCTTTTGGATGTTAGTTGATCAACTCGAAACATTCAACTCATTTTACTTCTATTTAAATGCAAAATAGATTTTCACGTCATTTTTATATATTATCACTTGATATTTATATTCGAGGGAAAAAGATCAAATGTAATCCTAAACTATTCAAAAAAGTCTAGATATATCTCCGTTTAAAGTTTGGTTCATTTATATCATCGCCTTTCAACTTTTGGTCTATATATGCACTCATGGGCGTTAGTTGGTCAACTCGAAATATCAAATTCATATTACTTTTTTTTAAATGCCAAATGAATTTTCCATATCATTTTTACATATTATCACTTGACATTTATATTAAAAGAGAAAGGGATCTTTTATGTCCCTAACTATCCGACCTAATTTTAAAACACATATACAACCCGTTTTTAAAATAATCTATACGACGCCACCTCGTTTTTTTAAATAACCTATATGGGTCAGATTAGGGCATAATTGAACCATTTAAAAGGCGAACATTATCGTGCTTTGATTGGAACCGCCAAGGAATCAATGGCACGACAGCTGAAAGAAAAGGAAGTCGAGGTTTGAAAAGCATTTTCGGACAACGCAGAGCTAGAAGCGCAAGCTTGGTAGGCAAGGGCTAGAGCGGAGGAATTCACCGCTATAACGTTACAAGCACAATTGCAAACTGCAGCAGGCGATGATGATGTAAATAACAGAATAATTCCACGTATATGAGTCGGATTAGAGGCATAATTGAACCATTTAAAAGACGGTCGTATATGTGTTTTAAAATTGGGTCGGATAATTAGGGCATAAGTGACCCCTTTCTTTTTTAATATAAATGTCAAGTGATAATATATATAAATGATGTGAAAAATTCATTTGTCGAAAAGTAAAATGAGTTGGATATTTTGAGTTGACCAACTAATGCCCATAAGAGCATATGTAGTCTAAAAGTTGAACGTGAGTGTATAAATGGACCAAACTTTAAACGCAGTACATCTAGACCTTTCGAATAGTTTAGGGCATATTGACCCTATTCCATATAAATGTCAAGTGATAATATATAAAAATGATGTGGAAAATTCATTTGACATTCAAGGAAAGGTAAAATGATTTGGATATTTCGAGTTGACCTACTAACAACCATAAGGGCATATGTAAACCAAAAGTTGGACGGCAGAAGGTATAAATGAATCAAACTTTAAACGGGGGTATATCTAGACCTTTTCGAATAGTTTAGGGGCATATTTGACCCTTTTCTCTTTATATATTTGTAAATTGTGTAAAAATATATGAGTTAAATAATTATATAATCATATTATTATAAGTAGAAAGATTCAAAGTTCAAAGTTGAATTATCATTTTATCCTTATATTAAAATAATTAAACAAATATTATAAAATATAATTAAAAATTTAATAAATAACTCATTTAGATTGGTGCATGAATCAAATTCACATTAATAATTAATTACTCTATTGTAAAAATCAGAAGTATTTGAAAATTTTTTCTATTAAATAAATTTGAATATGGACTAAAATCATTGAACTAATTTAATGCAAATTAATTATATACTCAAAGGTCATCATAGCTACTTCTATAAACTACCTAGTATGATCTTCATGTAAATGACAAGAGGAGGATGAGAGATTATCATCAAATCATTTTGTATGTGCAGTAATTTTTTTTTGTTTTTATCCGCTCCTTTTTGTCCGTCCTAAGTATTATATATTTCCTTTTTTATATATGTTGATGTACTTTCTTATGATTTTATTTTTTTAATTAAAATATTTTGTGTCCTGCGTGAAGAAAATAGTAATATACAATTAATGTTCTACTATGTATCTTAATTACGGATGAAATTCATATTAATGAAAGATTAATCAATTCATTTGACATGCTTATTTGACTCTACTTTAGTATAAATATATTTTTGAAATTATTATTTATGAGTAGTGGAAGAATGACTAAATGAGAAATCATATATATATATATATATATATATATATATATATATATATATATATATATATATATATATATATATATATATGAATTCGTATCCTAAAATAAAATGGCCCACCTAATTGGAGATAAAGAATGGATCATACTCTATATAGTATATATGTGATTTTGAGGTTGTATTTTTATTTAAACTTTTCGTTTATATGTATAATTTATTGATCTTATTAGTCTATTATTTAATTGTTGGAACATTCATTTCTCAAATTGATCATATATCTAGAATAAGTCATTTTGAAAAGTTTATGTTGCTCAATTTGTATTAATTATTCAAAGAGTAGTGTTATAAAAAAAAGACTATTACTCTTTTCTCATCATAAATCATGTGTACAGTATATGTGATATAATGATAAAAATAATTGACATATTAATCATAGTAATGGCTTCAAGTATGTTTCGTTATATACCAAGTGTTTATATCATAAATTTGCATATGTACCATATTGACGAAATCTTTTAGTATCTATAAATTTTATGCATCAAACGTCTATCTACTGTGATAATAAGCTATTTATTATTGATGTAAAATTTTAACTATAGCTGGAAAATTGTCAAACTCCCATCTATAGTTATTAATTGGAGCTGGACCCATAAATAGTTAAGTAATAATTATTTTCCAAACTAGAGTGTCTACTTTTGCAATAGAGATATTATTTTATTTATGATAATGTGATGTTTTTCTGCCTAATTATTGAATGTTAATTATTTCTCATACACATAACTTTTTAAAATTAAAAGTTCAATATGAAGAGACATTCTCCACTATTTATGTAGAAACACTTTGAGAATTAAATATTTAATATGCTTTTTAATAACCAATTTACTAAGATTGATATTATCATAGGAAGGAAATTGCAGTATTCAACATGAGAAGAAAAGAGAATTAGAGAAGGATAACAAAAAAATAACTAGTTATATCATCTATTTAATGTTGTTCATATTATATTTGTTATTATTTTGCGAATAAAAGATAAATGGTAAAATTACTATTGTTAATTTAAACATCTTTTTAATTACTTAACTTTTTAGTATATAAAAATTTAATAATAATAATAATAAGGGACAAACGTGCAAGATACGTTCTCAGAAACTAGTATAAAATATATATGAAAAATTATAATTGAATATAAGTTATTTTGAAATTCAAATCTCGAAAGATTCAATATAAATTGAGATAAAGGGTGTAACCGTGTAATACTTTAATGGATGATTTTGAAATTTTATTTGAATTATTTTGAAATTGTATTTTTTTGTTTGTAGACATAAAAACATTAAAACTGTACACATTTTTTATACAAGTAAATCAAATAAATAAAATAAAACCATAATATTTATTGATCACGTATAACACTACATAACTCGAATATGAAAAAATAATCACCAAAATTAGATACGAGGAAATTGCACAATAATCGACACAAAATAAACCCTAGAAAATGACTTGTTTGACTTAATTTTCTTCCTCATTGACAACATATCACAGCTGCCAACTGATAGTGGAAATAGAAAAAAATAGGTATCATATATAAATTTTACTCTTTAATTTGTCTCGTTTCTTACTTATGTTCTACAATTTTGATTGTGTATAAATAAACAATTAAATTTAAAAAAGTTTATATTAATTAATATATTTTAAAAAATAATTATTAATTTTAGTGATACTTTTTGTTTATTATCATTTATAGCAATATTGTGATAAATCTGTAATATGTATTAAAAGTAAAGTATGTGTGTAATATATTTGAATTATAATTATTTTTGAAATATATTATGTTTATTTGGTAAAAAATTATCACATTATATTATAAGTGTATTAAATGTGTGATAAATGTATTATCCATCATTAAAACTTATATTATATTTGAATAATAATGTTATTTTTGTAATATGTACTAAACTTTTATTATAAATTAATTAAAAGTGGTCAAGTGAAAAAAAAAATATTATTGCTATAAATGATAAATATTTTTTTTATTATAGTATATATATATATAAGTTTTCCATAAATTTATATAAAATTAAATAAATAGATACATACTTACTACACGACAATTTGTATCCGATATCTTCAATTTTATACTCGTAAAAATGTGATTAAATTAAATGACTATTACCGAAAGAGGTAAAATTGAACACGATACTTTGCCACTCCTTCAATATTCGTTGCAAAAATTTACAGAATTGGCATTCCTAAAAACAAGTTTTAAGAGGGGCAGAAATGGCGGCAAGGCTAAATGAGGCAGCAGAAGAACCTTTTTTGAGCTGAATCATCGGTGACCATGTTTATGGCAGCAATGATACAAACGCGAAACAAGCTACTGAATCATAATCCAAATCCTACTTTCGGTTTCACCACAGTTGCAGCTTCTGTTCTTCACTCTTTCTCAAATCACTCTGTTTTTCCCTCCATTGATAGAACAAAAAACGTATCTTTTTCTCCAACCCAAGAACCAGTATTTCAGTTCAAAGACTTTACTAATATCTTGAATAACAATACAAAACATTTGGGAGCTGTTGTTTTGCCGGAAAAGTCAGTTTGTTCTGTTTCTATAGTTTCAGACAAGTGTGAGTTTCTAGTGCAAAAATACCTACTTTCTTTTTCTGAAAACGATGCCCAAAGACTCCATTTGGATATTATTAAATATGGGGTTGTTAAAGATTTGTACTTGTGCAACACACTTATTAATTTGTATGTGAAAAATGCTGATTTGATCTCTGCTCATCACGTGTTTGATGAAATGCCGAGCAGAAATCTAGTTACGTGGGCGTGTTTGATTACGGGTTATTCACAGAATGGGATGCCTGATGAGGCATGTGGAGTTTTCCAAGAAATGGTTTCGTCTGGGTTTATTCCTAATCATTATGCTTGTGGTAGTGCTTTGAGGTCTTGTCAGGGTTTAGGTGCTTGTGGGTTGAGGTTGGGGATGCAAATACATGGTTTGCTTTTGAAAACAGGGCATGCTTCTAATGAAGTTGTTTCCAATGTCTTGATCTCGATGTATGGAAGTTGTGCAGGTAATGGTGATTATGCTTGGCGTGTTTTTGAAGAGATAGAGAATAAGAATTCAGTATCTTGCAATTCTATTATTTCAGTTTACTCTCAGCGAGACTCAGTTTCTGCCTTTGAGCTCTTCTCCTTAATGCAAAAAGATGATTTGGGGTTTACTTTTAAACCAACTGAATTCACTTTTGGCAGCTTAATTACTACTGCTGCTAATCATGTTAATTGTGGTTTGCTTTTACTTGAGCAGCTCCTGGCAAACATTGAAAAGTCTGGACTCTTGGAAGACTTGTATGTAGGCAGTGCTCTGCTCAGTGGTTTTGGAAGGTTTGGGTCTCTTGATACAGCGTTGAAGGTTTTCAAACAGATGGGTGCAAGGAATGCAGTGTCCTTGAACGGGCTCATGGTCGGATTGGTGAGACTTGGTCAGGGAGAAGACGCAGCTAAGGTTTTCATGGAGATAAGAGACTTAGTTAAAATCAATCCTGATTCCTTTGTGGTTCTTTTCAGTGCATTTTCTGAATTCTCTTCATTGGAAGAAGGGGAAATAAGAGGCAGAGTGCTACATGCATATGTTATCCGGACTGGTCTGTGCAACTCCAAGGCTGCTATTGGAAATGCTCTGATTAATATGTATTCTAAATTTGGTGAAATCCAAATTGCCCATTCTGTTTTCCAGCTCATGGTCAATAAGGATTCAGTATCATGGAACTCTATGATCTCCGCTCTAGATCAAAATGATTGTTTTGAAGATGCAATATCAACCTTCCAATCTATGAGGAGAATAGGTCTGATGGCTTCAAATTACTCACTGATAAGTGCTTTAAGTTCTTGTGGAAGCCTGAATTGGATAAAATTGGGGGAACAACTGCACAGTGAAGGGATAAAGTTAGGACTTGATTTTGATGTATCAGTGTCTAATACTCTTCTTGCTTTATATGCTGATACTGGATGTGTGGCTGAATGCAAAAAATTGTTTACCTTGATGTCAGAACATGATCTAGTTTCATGGAATACCTTTATTGGTGCATTAGGTGATTCTGAGACGTCTATTTCTGAAGCCATAGAATACTTCATACAGATGATGTGTGCTGGATGGAGTCCTAACAATGTGACCTTTATAAATGTCCTTTCAGCAATATCATCTCTTTCTCTTCTTGGTCTTGTTCGTCAAATCCATGCTCTGGTGCTAAAATATAGTGCAATGGATGCTAATTCTATTGAAAACACATTTCTTGCTTGCTATGGTAAGTGTGGGGAAATGAATGACTGTGAGAACATATTTTCTGAGATGTCTGACAGGAAGGATGATGTGAGTTGGAATTTAATGATCTCTGGATATTTACACAATGAGGTCTTACCAAAAGCCATGGACTTAGTCTGGCTTATGCTGCACAAGGGTCAGAAATTAGATGGCTTCACATTTGCCTCTGTTCTCAGTGCATGTGCCTCAATCGCAACATTGGAGCATGGCATGGAAGTTCATGCTTGTGCAATTAGAGCCTGTTTGGAATCTGACGTTGTTGTTGGCAGTGCTCTTGTTGACATGTATGCCAAATGTGGAAGAATAGATTATGCTTCGAGGTTTTTTGATTTAATGCCTGTTCGTAATATATATTCATGGAACTCAATGATATCTGGTTATGCACGGCATGGACACGGACATAAAGCACTAGAGCTTTTTACAAAAATGAAGATGGATGGTCAAACACCTGACCATGTCACATTTGTTGGTGTCTTATCAGCTTGTAGCCACGTGGGATTTGTCGAGCAGGGCATGGACTACTTTGATTCCATGAGCAAACAATATGGACTGACACCTCGGATTGAACATTTCTCATGCATGGTTGATATCCTGGGACGAGCAGGGCAGATGAATAAATTGGAGGACTTCATCAATAAAATGCCATTAAAGCCCAATGCACTTATCTGGAGGACTGTGCTTGGAGCTTGTGGTCGAGCAAGCAGTCGTAAAACAGATCTAGGTAGGAAGGCTGCTCACATGCTCTTGGAGTTGGAACCTCATAATGCTGTGAATTATGTGCTTCTTGCAAATATGTATGCTTCAGGAGGGAAGTGGGAGGATGTGGCAGAGGCTCGGCGTGCAATGCGAGAAGCAACAGTAAGGAAAGAAGCTGGATGCAGCTGGGTTAGCATGAGAGATGGTGTTCATGTTTTTGTAGCTGGTGATCAATCTCATCCAGATAAACATGCAATTTATGAAAAACTTAAGGAACTGCACAAGAGGATTAGAGATGCAGGGTATGTGCCACAGATTAAATATGCCTTGTATGATCTTGAACTGGAGAATAAGGAAGAACTCCTCAGCTATCATAGTGAAAGACTTGCAGTTGCTTTTGTTCTTACACGGAAATCAGATATGCCAATCAGAATAATGAAAAACCTTCGAGTTTGTGGGGACTGTCACTCTGCCTTCAGGTACATTTCACAAGTTGTTGGTAGACAAATAGTATTACGAGACTCCAACAGATTTCATCATTTTGCTGATGGAAAATGTTCATGTAACGATTACTGGTGATAGATCAAATGTTGTCTAACTTAAAGAAAGGTATGCTACTTAATGATGCATAAACAGACTAAGGAATGAAAAAGTTTCAAGCATGTCATGTCTGAAGTATAGGAGAGCGCAGTTTGCAAGGGTGTTGCATCAATTATTCTGGTGAGGACCTCAACATTATTTAGTAAAGTATGCCATAATCTTGGTGTGGTTTGAATTACTTGCTATATTTCTGTATCGTTTTATGACATGAATCAGCTACAATGATAGCAAATTACACCATCAAATAAAAGGAGTATGGCGAATGTAAGGAGGGTTGAGAATATCAAACCCTACGTAAGCATGTATCCAAGTTGTTGGCAGACAGATAGTACTATGAGACTCCTGCTGATTTCATCATTTTGTGCACTTGCTTGGTGGTCAATGAAGTTGGAAGGGACCACGGGAAACTGGGGTAAGAACTTCAAATCCCTGCAGAGGCGAAAAATTGTTAGGTGATTTCTTCCCATCTGGCTAAAGCTTGGTGAACAAAGTTACCCATGTACATGTATTGGTGAGAAGCAGCAAGTACCAAGTGAATCAGTCGAGATGTGCACAAGTTGGCCCATACACCACCACCAACACCTAATATGCCTCAGTCCCAAACAAGTTGGTGTTGGCACCACCATTGTTAAAAAAAGAGGTTCTATTTTTGCTGATGGGGAGTGTTCTTGTGACAATTATTGGTAATTCATCAAATTCTTCCAACTCAGAGCAAGGGGTGTTGCTTAATGGGGAATTTCAAAACAGACGAAGTAATGGGAAGAGTTCAGCATGTCAATGAAGTATGGGAAGGGAAGCATTTAGTTTTAAGGGTTGAATTAATTATTCTGGTGGTGACGTCAACCTGAAGTTATGAAAACATACCATACTCCTGGTGTATGGTTGATACTTGCTATATTGTCATATTTCTTTGATATTTTATTCTTGAATTGGTTAGAGTGACAGCAAATGACACCATGAAATCAAAGTTGAATGTATAGGGTAAACTGTATCAATGGTGCTCTTGCATAATAAAGGCCTTCGGGTTTGCAGGACAATTTCATTGTTCAGACTTCACAGATCATGTAAAGTCCAGTTTTTGATCTCTGAGATACTCATCCTTCAGGCGAGTGGTTCATGGGAAGGCTACTCTTGCATTCTAGCTGAGCACACACCCATGGTACTCCATAGATATGGCAACTCGAGGAAGAAGTTAACAGCACCGAAAGATGTTCAATGTAATTAATCAAGTTCTAATACCATTTTGTTGATCAAGGGCAGGTAATGTGCATGAGCAGTATGTCTTCCTTTGTGCAAGCTCGTCTTCTTCATCTTAAAATGCTTGATAAAAGTGTGTATATTATCCAGAAGGTTTTACTTCTGTTCTTTACTTTTGCAGTACTGAGTCCGCTTGTCTGTGCTGCAAGTAGCTACAACTAATGTTACATTATAGATGGGCACAATGACATGAAAGATCATGAACAACATTGTCGATCATTATAAAATGGAATAATGAAGATGTAGGTTCCTTCAATACCAAGACTGATTCTTTATTAGGATTACTTTACAGAATGATGAATGAGTTGGTTGATTTCTCACCCTAGGAAAAACATGTTTTGGCTAACACAAGAATTTTTGTCTAGTGTTTATGATCAGGATTAGACCCTGATATTGTTGAAGTTGATTATATGGGACAAGACAGGTTTAATTATTTTACCAATATCTTGTCCGTATTCTTTTTTGAACTAACATGGGTAATGCACGGATATCTTGCCTTATGTTTGCAATAGTTGTCACATCCAAGTTGATCATAATTACTTCACACTAATGGTTACAAACGAACTGATCTTGGAAACAAGTAAAAAGTAGATACAACCATGGCAACAGGGATCTTAGATATTGTTAAAAAAGGTGATGTGGTAATACATGGACTGGATCCAAAGATATCACAAAAATTGTTGAAAAGAGAAGAAACAAGGAGAATCATTTTTTTTTTAATAATAAATGTGTATTTGGAATAAAAGGTAAATGGTCTCTGAAAAAACATCTTTAGGAAAAAACATTCCTATTTGTTTTTCCGGTCAACATCTGAATTGGAACCGTCGATCTTGGCCATTAATTATCCCTGTTGTCCTCTCTGCTCAAAAAATTATAGCAAAGACTTCAAGTTAACTTCCCATGTTCTCTTCCTTCCTTTTGGCTGTCACTGTTGAGTGCCGAATTACCCTTTAGTTATTCACTTGATCATTGACCAGGATATGAAAATGATAGTAGCTCTTTGAAAATACAATTTGCAATCAGCTCGCTGAGTTAGTTGAAGATCATGATGATGACTTCAGCATTCCCATGGGTAAGAATCTGTAGAAGGTCAGTACCAAGTTCTTAACTATTTCACAGAAGAAGAAGCACCAGAACACAAGCCTACAGGGATGAAGCATCTCAGATGAATTACTTTATTTCTTTGTTGCAGTTGGATCATTTTCATTCTTTCCCCCCTTGTTCATTTAGGAGTTGAAATCGAGAGGGGTTATGCAGTTATTTTCATGACTTGTGTAAATACTTCGCAGATATATTCAATGTTTCTGTTACTAATATAGTGAAACTGTGGAAGTTTGTGAAAGTTCTTGTTAACACTTGAGATGAATGGTCATTTGGAGTTGTAGACTAACTGTACTTCATACTATAACATATGTACAGTGTATCTTTAGTAACAAGAAATTCTTAGCAAAACGTGATCCACTGGGGGCATTTTTCTCTTGCTTGAGTGTCCATTTTCATTCTGGGTGTCACCACAAGACTAGTGCTGGTTAAACAAGCTGTGTTTGTGAATCTCTCATGATAGTGAAGCCAGTTCTGTTTAGTGCATCTTCAGATCACGTGCAGATATAAAGACTAGTCATCGACTTCTGGGAAGGAGTAGAAGAATGTGACCTATTATGGGACATACGATATATTACAGATGTATGATCATTACGCTTCATCAGGTAGCTTTTCACCAATGCAGAGGGTTATCCTTTTTGCTAGTTGCAAATTTTAGACAATATGTGAAGGCAAAAAAGTAGACATAAATCTCTCTTATTGTTTGTTTGGTTCTATATGATGCTCTACATTACTAGTATACAAGATATCTCATATTATATGCTGTAGATGATGCTCTACATTGATTGTACACTCACTCTCTCGTAGTATATGCTGCATATGACACTCTACATTGATAGCACACAAAACTCTCATATTTGTTTCTAAAACTGTGACAAGGTTGGAAAGAATTCAATGTTAGTAAAAGGCAAATGCTTTGTTCATCTGTAATGGCTGTGATGATGACATAAGTGACAATTCATTTTTCTCATCTGTTGAAAATGTTCCTTAATCCGTTTGTAGCTGCTGTTTCATTGACTAAATCTCTCCTGGTTTGCTTTATATAGGGCCCATTTTTCTTGGAGCAGATAGATGAAGAGGATAACAACAATCTCAACAGTAAAAGCCAGGTTCCAAACACTTGTGCTTCTCATTGTTCTTGTGTAATATGACTGTAAACCTGTATATATGTTGATAATTCCCAGTAAAGAAACTGTCACTCCTAGAAGCCAGTGAACTAAAAACCATATACTCCTTCCTTTGCTTTCTCTGTACAGGAATCAAAAAACAATACTTAAAATTACTGAAATTAACTTCGGAACACAAATAGGATCTTTCAATGCTGCAATTTAAGTTTGACCCCGTTAAAACTGTTTTTGTGGCCACCATAACATAGCAAAATCCTGACAAATTGCCAGGATTTCAAATTGATGAGAAAAATGTGCCTCGTCACAATAATTGCTAGGATTCCTGGCCAAATCCTGTTGGTTCACCAGTATTCAGCCACAAATCCTGGCGAATTTCAAATTAATAGCAAAAGTTGTCTTGTCATAAATTCTAATGGATCACTGGGATAACCAGCATTGTGATTACAAATCCTGAAATTTAAGGTATATATCCTTTTACCTGTCAGGCTTAAGAATCCCAGTGACTGCTTGCAGCCATATGGCAGCATAAACAGCTAAGCCAATCCTTTGGTGATTATTTGTGAAAGAGTTGTCAAAGTTTCCTATTGACATGATTGCTGCTGCTGTTACAAGGAGAAAAGATAGTATCTGCAAAATAAAAGATATTATTTTTGTCTTAAAGACGTCACTAAAGGTAAAATCGAAAGTTTTAAAGTTAAATTATTTCAAATGTAAAAATTTGTCAATAATATTGAGAACAGACTAGTAAGAAAACAATGCCTCGTAAAATGGTACCGGCGGAGTAATAACTATAGTAACTGTTGAGACTTGAGATACTATTTGTCATGGCCAAGAAAAGAAGTCATGACCCTTTCACCATATATCATAGTGAAACAGAAGTTTAAAAAAGGGGATAAATTAGTTACCTGTGAAATAGCATGAATGATTTTTAGCCTTGTTCCACATTCTTCATGTCTATTTGTCATTCTTATTACAAGAATCCCAATAGGCATCAAGAAACCCATGGAAGCCCAGAGAAGAAATCCATGTAGAATAATTTGAAATGACAACATATTCTAAGTTAACTGATGAGTTATATATTTTTGAAACTAGTTAGAGAACAATACCCAAAAAATATTTCCTCTGCAAGCAGCAGTGTTATTCTCAATTATGCAAAGAGGCCAAAGTGTTGTGCTTTAGACAAATGAAACTATGTTTTGTTTGGCCATATAGTGTTGAGATTACTGATTATTTATAGTGAGGTAATGAAAGTAGAGAAATGGGAATTAGGTTTGATTTCAACCTAGTGGGGACTTCATGACATGATTTTTTTATTTTTTTTTGTGATGAGAATAATATGGGATTTGATCAGTGCAGAAGATACAGTAAGAGTAGGAGGGAGAGATCATTTCAAGAGAATATCAAGTAGTTGACAATATCTGTGTACACAACTTTGAGCAAGAGCATGATCACTAATGAGATAATGTAACATCCCAACTTATTAGTGATATCGTTTGCCTTTCTCCTACTCTGTCAATCTAAGAGTCAACATTCTCATTGAGACTTGTCTCATAACTTCATCTCAAAAATATTGAATTTGCTTAAACTTCTTAGCACCTTCGAGTAAGAACACATCATTATATGTCACTCTAGTAAAGCACTAGGATGAGATCCAACAAAAAATGTCAAACAAAATGGTCAAAGATATGGATTCTCACTATCCACAATACATGTAACTAGATGTGAGGTCTCCTCTAGAAGTCCAGTAAAATGGTAGAACTCATGTTAAGTAGATGATTTACTTGTAGAGAAGTAAAAATCGACACACACTCTAATGGAATCAGTGGCACACCCTAAAATGCATTTCATACTGCATGCGTTTCTGTTAAGATATGACACCATGACCTAACTCAACCCCAAAAGCTAGCTCATGAGGAGAGGTTTGTCAAGTCCACATAAGAAGACCGAATTCCCATCCCTCTACCGCTGTGGGACATCTTAATGGGAATTCGGTCTTCTTATGTGGACTTGACAAACCTCTCCTCATGAGTTAGCTTTTGGGGTTGAGTTAGGACTCAGGTGCCATATCTTAACAGCTTCATTACCGCAAATTGGAAGGCAAGTGATCGAATAGACCCACTTCTGTCTGAGTCGACCTTGAAAGAACATGAATTGACAATCTCATTAGGTGATGGTTTAGTATATGCTACTTTAGTATGAATCTAAAGGTTATGAAAATACGACCTGGAAGAGTAATGTTAGTGATATGTGGACGAAAGACAGATCATGTCAAATACACATTTTGCTTGTGTCTGAGATCTGTTTATTATATGGCTATTTCAGTTGACATCATAAGTGATTGTAATGACAAAAGGGTCAGAGAAGCCATACATATTAATAGTTGTATCAATCAAATAAAAGATTCTTTCAGTTACTGCTATCAACTTGAGGTAGATAGATGAATTAAGTTGACTTTCAATTCCTTAAAAAGTAAGTACTACTAATTAATTAACAAACTAGGCTATATTTAATCATTAGCAAACATGTAATTATAAGTGGGGGTACTTCTATCTAATAAAGAAGGTTCATATTTATTTGTAATATAATATGACTTGTTCCATTTTGATCAACGGATAGTAATTTAATTAAAAGAATTTTGAATTTTTTTTAATAAAAAAGAAACAAGAGTATTTAAAAGAACCCTTAACAGCACTACACATGGAAACTAATGATGTTAATTCACCCAAATTAAGTTGTTAAAATGTCAAATGTAATAATATCCATGATGACCTAAATTAGAGGAAAATTGAAATAAAAAACTTTGGTGATCTCTCATCTTTCATAGAGATGTTATTGCAATCTGATAAAGATCTAAATCGAGAATTATCATACTACGATGATATAACTTAATGATCAATGAAAAATCATGACAGAGAAAAGTTCAAATTATACATAATGGAGAAAATAAAGTCAAGTAATTTATTCAATCCGGTCATCTATTTAAAATTTCAATAGATAGAGTAATTTGGTACTTGTACAAGTAAAATTAAAAAATAATTATATTTGATAAATTAGTTTAGTTGCGTACAAATAGTTATATAGAAACAAATTTATAATGAAACTGAGTCAATCATAGATGTTTTAGGATCCATTCACATTTGATTCAGGTTTTTGGATAGATTATACTTTCTTTCTGCTTTTGTAAATATGTTTTTTCAGTACTATTTGAAATACAACTGTTACCATTTTTTTTTTAAAAAAAGAAGCAAATTTACGATGAACAAGTGAAATCTCTTTAATTTGGTCATGAACAATAACGGTTGCTTTAACTAGTTGTGCTGTCGATACTTGTCTAAAGCTAAAATTTTGTAATAATGGGCATACTATAAAACACCAAATCAAATAAATTAATGTTTTCAACTTTTAATGAATTAAAAAGTGAAGAAAATTTTACTGTAGACCTCTAATTATAACCAAAAGAGTGCTCCAATTATATACTTTTTACAACTAAAAAGGACTGGAGAATTTGTGATTATATTCATAAGTTACATATGAGAAACTCCATATTGCTTGCGTCTATTCAGAATAGCTAATCTTTTCATATTTGTGCTCTTTCATTCAGAAAATCGATCATACATGAATATATCTTCCACATATATATATATATATATATAATGGTGGTCCGTGGTCTAGTTAACTTTCAACGAATATCTACAATATTCATGAAACTCCTTAGGGGTAAACATATTCGAAAAATATCCTTTCCATAAAAACACCTATAAAGTATATATACTTCTTGAAACTTTTTATTGCTTTAAGAAATAACAAAAAGTTGTAGAAAAAAAATTATATGTATATATGGATAAATGTAATCACTAACATAAATTTTAGAAGAAAAAAACAAGTTTCCAAGTCAAAGGGTTGAGCTCAAATGAAGAATTAGTAGTGCTACTTACTGAACTTCACTTTTTATTTTTGTTTCTCTATTTTTGCCCTATATTGTTTTTTGATGAAGTCCAATTTTTATGAATAATAATAAGGTAGACATCTCATAAAAATGATTGTATAGCATATCTGCACCACGTTATGACTAGAAATGTCATATATTTGATGGTTATTTATCTAAAAATATGAAAAAAAAACAAATAATTAGTTAGCATACATACATACAAATATACACATATATAAGAGGATAAGATTATGTGGATTTTACTTTGAAGTAGTAGAGTGATATGAAATGATATGTTGAAAGGTTGTTCTTCTTAATAGTTGCTGTACATTATGTCAGTTGATAACTAAGTTATGCTGAATTCTTCACACCCTTTGCTGAAATGGCTGTCAAGATGCCCGCGTCCCATGCTGTTAGGTAGAAGAAGAAGAAGAGGAAGCAACGACCCTCTGGCCTCGAAAAGCAACTATTGGCACTGATGTTGCAGCATATACATTAGATTGCATACAGTCTAAAAGCCACCACTCCAATGGGTAAACATACAATCTATTCAAATAACAACGCCAGTTGGCTGGTCGAGAAGCTGATTCTCTGAAAGTAACCTTTTCCAGAATCTTGACTATGCATGCCTATGGTGGAGCAAGGATATCAGCAGTGGAGATTCTTCGCTAAGTTCTAGCGAACTCCATTTGCATAAGCCTAGGTAAACTATGAAGAGCCATTAGAAATGGTAAGTGAAGTACTAGAGAACTCCACCTGTCTAAAAAAAAAATTTATGTAAAAACGTGTTGTCTGCAGCAGGATAGTCAGGAACACTTTTGTCTGGAATTATTAGTTGTTCTTCTTCTCCATCAGTGGAAATTCAACTAATATAATGAATGAGGATCTGTCAGCCTCGCGAAGATACTGGACGGTACCATCCATGATTTTAACAAGTTTCTGGCTGATGTATAGGCCAAAACCTTCCCTTGATATGCTCCGACTGTAGTGGAACATATGTTGAATTAAATCGTCAGGTATCCCTGGGGATGGATGAGTGATCCTGAGAGGTGAAATGCAATATAGTAAGATTTAACGTACAGTGGAAGCAGATCAGGCTTCAAACTTCGCATGTTGCTCTATCAGACTTTAAAGGAAACCTTAGTTGAGAATTAGGAGAAAGGGTATGAGATAGTTCATTATTTGAGGAGAGATTTTATCATAATATAGGACTAAAAGATTACAAGTTCAAGTACTTAAGCATCTAGCGTTTAACCAACAACAACATACCCTTGTAATCCCACAAGTGGGATCTGTGGGTTCAAATGATTATATTTAGTCTCCTCGTTTTCATTTTTATCCGTCTTGTTGCATTTTGTTTGTTTTACTTCTTTTCACAAAGTAAACAATTTCCCCCCTTCATACAAATAGAATGGTCATATAGATGCCAAATAACTTGGAAGAATATGGATAACAAATTGCAGCTCTATGAAGCTAGCCTTACACACTCTACTCTGCTTTAGGAATCCAGCACCCCATTATTTAGAACGGGCCACGTTATCCAACTCTGTGCTTGGACGATTAGCCCCCAAGCGCAACCATATGGGACAGCCAACATCCCACCATCTTTGACGCCCCCAATTGGGCAACAATCCCTCACTACCAATCTTGGGATATGAAGAAGGAAGTCTGTTGCAATTTGGGGAGCCATGATCTACCATACTTGGCAGGCTAGGAATTGGAAGATAGATAGACAAACCATTGTACATAAAAATTTGTAGTTACACAACCTCTTTACATCACAAAGGTAGGGGTAAGGTCTGCGTATACACTATCCTCCCGAATCCCACTTGTGGAATTACACCGGATATATATTGTTGTTGTGGTACACAAATACAAAAGGAGATCAAACACAGACTATGGTTACTGCATAGTTCAAAGAGAACACATAGTTGTCGGTCTTTGTTTCGGAAATTATGTAATTAGTTTGTTTACTTTGATTCTTCTTCTACCTGGGGCCTAGATGGCTATATTACCCTTCCTAGAAGGTGATAGTAGCCCTAGGTGCTCTTTAGTTTGTATTACATTCTTGGTTGTCAATGGTAGTAGTTCATACCCAAAAAAATAAAAAAAATGCAGCTCTGTAAAATTTGGATAAATTGAGAAATTTTATATTTATTTTTTTCTTTCTTCCTTCTTTTCGGGGGTGGGGGTGGGGGGGTGGGGTGGGGGTGGGGGTGGTAATCTTAATTTGCCCCTTCTCTTTCCATCCCCTCCTTTTAACTAGGAGAAAATGTTGGATATTATACTAATATGCGTAATGTATTACTCTTATGCTCAAGGATGACAGAAAAGGATCACTGCAAAGAGTTTTAATATTTGAAATCTCAGAATCAGTGAAAACTGCTAAAAGCCTAATCGATCACTGCACTGCTACTTCTAGCCTTCTAAGTAGATTCTACCAGACCAGGAAAAAGAAATCCCGAGGCAGATTGCCCTTATTTGATACGACAACAACAACATACTCTCGTCTCAAGAGAAGTGTTTTTCAAAACAAGTTTGAAAAATACAAGTTAAACCTCACGGCTCAAGAGAAGTGTTTTTCAAAACAAGTTCGACAAATACAAGAGTTAAACAAGCTATGCTGAAAATATCGAAGAAAAGTTGAGATTTGACAGAGAAAAATAGTAAAAATAACCTAAGTAACATAAACAACAATGGTGATAAAAATGAAGAATATGATGCTCTCCCACAGGAAAGAGAGAAATCACTTGATTACCAACAGACCTTCTACTCTAATCCTCGACCTCCATTTTCTCTTCACGTCCTCAGTGAGCTAAAGATGTGTCATATATTGTCTAATCACCTCTCCCCATTCTTCCAGGATACATCTCTACCCCTCCTTAGACCTATCAGGCTATCACTGTCAACCTCCCGCACCTCCTATTAGAGCATCTATGTTCTTCCTCTTCATATGCCTTAACATCACAATCTTGCTTCCCGCATCTTGTCCACCACGAAGGCCACTGCCGCCTTGCCCCGTATATCCTCATTCCTAATTTTGTCTCTCCTAGTGTTCCCAAACATTCATGTAAGAATCCCATTTTTCATTAATTTCATATATTGGATGTGTGAGTTCTTGATTGGCCAACACTTTGCTCCATACAATATAGTTGGTCTAACAACCATTCTATAACACTTGTCATTAAGTCAAAGTGGTACATTTTATCACATAGGACACCATGTGTGAGCCTCCATTTCATCTGCCTAGCTCCAATAAGATGTGTGGCATCATCATCGATCTCCTCATTTCCTTAGATTACTGACCCATGATACTTGAAACTTCCTCTCTTAGGAATGACTTGTATATCAATCCTCACTTCCACATCCGCCACATGACGCGTCACTTGACTTGAACTTCCTGTACTCTATTTTGATTCTACTCAACCTGAAACCTTTAGATTATAGGGTTTGTCTCCAAACCTCCAG